TCCGCACTATAACCAAAACCTTACAAAAGATATCCACATTTATTTATACTACTAATTAATGTAACGTTAAAAATATGCTATGCATTTGGCAAGTAGTTCTCACCTTTTACCAATTAGCTTCCAAACTGATTCTTCACTAAAAGTATTGATCGAAAAACCTGATTTGGAGAGCATGTCACTTATGGTTGTATAATGGTTGTCCTAAGTTCTTAGACCAGATTGAATGTTTTCCTTTGTGACATCCATACCGAGCTGCTTTTTCAGAGTGTTTTGCTGACTTCCCTTTCTTGCTGCCCTCTCCGATTTCCATGTCAAGCAAATGCATACACACTCAACTAAGAATACTGGTTTTTCTCATGAATGTTTAAAGTAATTAATAATAAGTTACATCACAAGCCTAACATTCCTAGCAGTAGAATAGTTGTCAGGATTTAAGAATATTAATTACTGCCAACGGAACTTGTCCTGAGAATCACACTGACAAAGATATAAACCCTAATTGAGTATTGAGACATTTTATCCACCAAATTATTTTCAAATGCCACAAGACTGTTTACAAAGGATTAGAAGTCAATGTTCAGTGAGAAGAACACAAGGTGATGTTTTCAATGGTGAGTCCCAACAAATGTTGAAGGTTCAGACTTCAGAAGTCAGAAAAGTCATTTGGAGGAAGATGGCTACTAAATATACCACTCTGACACAACTCATCCTCCTACAAATAATAGGAGTTCTCAAAACAGCCCAAGATTCCTTCACTGGCTAAATATTCCTCTTAGCATACACTTCTGAAATCACAACATCCTCGAGTGGTTCTCAAACTTCAGTCCCCAATCAAAATGAAATTTTGAACATTCTAGTGTTCCGCATCAATGCTTCAAGCATATTAAGATTGAACTTCAGAAATATTTAGTGATTTTAACTAGGCGCTAACCATCTTAATGAACAGCACCGCACCAGAAGCATATTAGTTATGGGAAGTTGGAATAAATCCCTTCACAGATAACCACTTGATAGAAAAGGTGCTCCACAGAGCTTCAACCACCGGCCTTATAAATTCTAATTATCATGTTATAGAAACAGATTCACACACAAAACAAAAAATAGAAGAATTCACACACAAACAAAAAATAGAAGAATTCGCAAGATTAATTATTATGTAAAAACTTTTTGGAAAGCGATCATCAAATATTCATTCTTTTATTTTATTTTCGTTTTGCTTTATTGATAAGTAATGGAAAACATAACATCCTAGCTTCACTATCGGTAATCAGGTTTCTCGAAACTGAAGTATGAACAGAAATACTACTTGCCACTACAAATAGCTAAAACTATAACAGAAATGAGGACTGAGCAAAACAGATTCTGAGCATATGCTTGTGTGTGTGTGATTCAGCCCAAAGTAAAAGATATGCAGACAATAATTTAAGTTTCAAAGTAAAAGACAGAGGGTCGAAATTTCTCTAAAATATTGTGAAAGTAATTTGTCACAATTAAAAAAGTAAATAAAAAAAATAACCCATCCTAATAAAGATATAGAAACTAGAACCTTATTAAGAAGGTAGGATACAAAAAAGAATTAAATTGAAAAATGAATAATGAACAAAGCAGTATCAACTAATTAATCAACTGAGAGTGATAGATAGATAATGATGATGATGATATGAATGTCAATCTATCTCGTCATCAGTACTGTTATAGGGTTACTAATAGGAAAGTCAACTTAATCACTGAGGGGGGGATCCTAGATTAATGCCAACTGTATTTTAATACAAGTTTAAATTAATCAAAGTTGTATTATTAATTTATCCTCTTTACCCTCGAGACAGTGAGTAAGTGCATTAGCAATCCTTTTTAATACACTTTGCCCACTTCAATAATTATTAAAGGATACTAATCAAAGACCAAGGGCTCAATCCTTTGGCAAGCAAATATCATCACAATTCATATATACATTTCAAGACACTTCAAAGAGGGTTGAAAAAAACTCTTCCATTTCAAGACACTTCAACAGTGAGTAAGTTGTTGATAGGTTAAAGAAAAGTTTTGATCAAGCTTTTTACAATGGTGGACTTATTTATTGTCATATCTTTGAGACGATTTCAAATCCCTTGTGTCATATTACAAACTTTTTTGTTAATTTTCTTAAGTTATTTATGATGTCAGTATCCCCATTGTTAGTCAAACAATGAACACAATTACTTGAACGGCTCGTTTCCTACAGTTAGGTGAACTGTGTCAGTTTGCCCTGTGAAGGTGCATTATAGAACACTCTCATAGTTAAACTGTTGGCCTAACAAGACAATTTTCAATTTAGTTCAATTTGAAAACTCATTTTGTTCCAATATAGGCTGCGCAAGGAAAGTCCTGGGAGATCTGTTTGAGACAAAGGTAAGCATGAACCAAGGAAATAATATATATATATATATATGTATGTATGTATGTATGTATGTATGTATGTATAATAAGAGATGTAGCCAGAGTTAAGGATAAGTCAAGAATGTAGACCTTAAAATTACTTTCAAAGCTAATTTGAAATAACAGATTAAAATCTATCTACTCATGATGCTAAAAAGATGAAATGTAAAAAAGGAAACTATATGCTTTTCCCCTCTGAAAATATCAATCTTGATTCATTTTTTACTTTTACGTTGTGTTCCTTTTCACCTTAAACTTGTACTTTTTGTGGAAAATATTAACAGAACAATGTCTTGTAGTGGGGTTGGGGGGTAGAAATGACTGCACTTTACTTCAGGTACTTAACTAAAATTTTCCACGTGAAATTAATTCAGTATGCGCTTGAGCATCTCACTAATTTTGAATAGTCTTATTGTCTCAAAGCATTGAATTCAAAATTTATGACTATGAATAGCTTCATTAATTTCTATCATGGGAGACATTTTTTTTTAGTACGGAATCCTTGTGTAATCAATCTGTTTTCCTATTGTTAAGGTTTGTTGTCCTCAGCTATATTAAAATGAAAGAAAGAAGACAAAAAATTTAATATTGGGAGTTATCAGCACAACTGATGGTATAGAATAATTCTTAGATTTTCTTCAGATGTGACTCTTTCAAGTATTCATCACCTATAAATGTTATGAAGAATTCTTGTATCAAATGTTAAAAGTGACCCAAATTCATCAAAAGAACAAGGATGTCCATATGTGCTATTAATGATGTTGTCAGTGTGGAGGTTTGACCTGGTGTCAGTTTGAAGGTAATATTGCCAAGAAGGGATAACAGAAAAAATGAGGAAGAAGAAAAGGGAAAGACCTCCAAAAGAATTCACTTCTAATACATAAAACCATCATCAAAGCATCATTTTAATACACAAATATAATCAATATGATTAAAGAGAATATTATCAAAGTTATTGTACCAAAGTAAAAAAGTTCTGGCAGGACATTTAAAAGAAAAGGACAAGGTTATGATAGATTCTTCTCTCTAATAATAATAATATATAAATGAAATGAAATAAAAATTGCAATATAAAAAAAATGTAAAAAGAAGAAGCTGCAGTTCTTTTGAGGGTGTGAAATTGTGAATTGCAACTAACTTCCTACCAGCCACCAGAACCAAACCAATTATTTAAAGGACAATAGTTTATTAAAGCAGCCCTGAAAGAGAGGTTCTGGTTGTCACTTTAAGGGTCAAATGGTTATTTACTATAATCTCATGAGGGTCAATAGACACCCCCCCCCCCCCCCCCCCCCCCCCCCCCCCCGGTCAAAAAAATTCACTTGGTTAAGAAATCTCCATAAGATCCAAAATTTCCCCATTTTTATAGGAAATGCCCAACACAGCTTCTATGACAAATTTTATTTTAAAATATAGATGTAACAAGCAAATCTACAACGACATTAGTGCAGTAACATACAAGACAATGAATATATACACCCACTCAAGCCCATCAGAGATTTTGTCATGCACAAAATTATGTTCTCACAACCAGAATTTGAAGCAAAACACAATGAAGTATTTTCTGTGTCCAAAATCAAACAATGTTCCACTTATCAGAAAAAAAAAAAAAAAAAAAAATCAAACCATGTTCCATATTAACATGTCTGCAACTATGCAATTATTAGAGGCAAAAGTCTAGGCAATTAGGGAGTAACACAAGTCCAAGTTCCAAATGCACTGAACAACAAAGAACAAGAACAGAAATCACTCTCTCTAAAAAGCACAAAAAACCACAACATAAAAATCAATGCAAGCAATCAAACCAGCAAAAGCATATAAACAGAAAATCAATTATATTTTCATCATGAAAAATGATAAGATACGTAAATACTAACCTCAAAACAACACTAGAACAGTTTTGGAAATACAAAAATGATGAAGGGGACCTTCACAGTTGAAGAGTAACTGAAGAGAAAGGTTGAGATAGTGATGATTCTCTGCAAAGCAACAAATGCATAGTTAGGGTATAAAGAAGAAGAGCAAAGAAGGGAAAAAAAAAGTAGAGAGAGAAATTGGCATACACTTTGCTACTAATCATGATCTTCATCTTCAACTGCACGATTAAGCTAGGGTTCCAAAATGATGATCAATGAGCTAGGGTTTGAAGGCTGATTGAGATGGAAAAGCTAGGGTTAGAGATGGACAATCTAGGGAGCTGGATTGAGATGGAATGATGGAGTGGAGTGAGCCATAGAGAGATATCGAGAGGCTGGGGTCGAGTGAGTGCCAGGGAGAGAGAGACAGAGAGGTGTTGTGTTGGGTTGGTTTTGGGATTTCAAATCCGTGGTTCGATTGTGGTATTGAAATTGTTGATTTGGGGTGTTTGGGATTGTAATGTAATCCCAAACCCATGTTAGTTATAGTATCCAAGCACAGAATTTGGAATTGGAGCATCCAATTCCAATTCCAAAGCTCCAAAATGGTCCTGCCAACCAATACCCTTAGGTCATTCACTTAAATGAAATGCTTCATTGAACTTAACTGTTTAAGTCTTTTGTTTAAATGAAATGCTGCAAGGAACTATACAGGTATTAAGAGTAATGTTGAAGAAATTTGGAACTATAATTAGTATCCAGAAATATTCATCACAGACAAAAAAATAGAATACAAGGTATCTAAATATTTCAAGAACACATTCCTGCTGCAGGGTTGTTTCATTGAAGTAGATGAGGTCCCAATTTATAGATAGAGAAGACCATAAAGATTTTCAAAAGTATTCTACAACAGATACATTGACTGGCTGAGATGATTCAGACAAGCTCTTTTTAATCTCTCAGTTAGATTAGGTTCCCAGTAAGGTAGGTTGGCAGTTTCCCCTTTCAAAATGCGGGATAGATTTTTGGAGGAGTTCAACTTGGAAAACTTCACAAAACGCTCTGACTAATGATTTGTGAGTAATATCAATTAGTTGGCAATCATCATAACATTGTATGTCCATTCTTCCGCATCCATCAAGTGACAAAGATTCCATCAATAATCCCTTTATGCTTCCAACACGACGATTCCTTATTCCACATGGAACTATTCTTTCAAAAGGAGTTAGATCTGCGGTGATATTCAATGCTAAGCCATGATATGCTACCCACTGTGATACTCGTATCCCAATAGCAGCTAATTTCTGATCTCCTGAAGCAATTCAATCTTTTAGGCTGCTATTGTTTTTCTTAGCAAAATAAAAACAGGAAAAGAAGAAATCAATTATGTTGAATACAGTTCAGGAAAAAGAAAATGTTTAATAAAAAGTACTATTAGAGTAATAATGATAATATGCTATTATTATCAAAGATATTCATAACAAAGATGAAATATGCAGCCCATCTGACTTGTCGAAACAACTTGCGTGAAGACAAGAAATTAACATATAAGATCATCTTTAGACATCCTGCAGACCAAATTTCAAGTAGCTGTATAACCATATATGCAAACAGTGTGTGCATTTTGGCACCAAACTGAGACCGTTAGATCATTGATCCACACAATTCAAATTGATGAGGCATAAATCAAAATAATCAAATGTCAAGTTGACAATGTAACCTCTACAATGCATTATTTTTGTCCTCCAAATTACGAAAAGAAAAAACTACAATTTATAACATTTTACATATCATCATTTATATTTCTTGTTAATATAGAAGAAGATTCCACTCTTATAGAATGAATGAGAATTTTGGATCCACAGGCTTCAAAAAGGCCTAAAAGAAGTGCAAGTACAGAGAACCATTCAAGTTCTGAGTTAGTATTCATTCATGATCAGTGGAAGTGTGTAACCTAGAAACTGTTCCATTTCACATGCATTTACTCAACAGAAGAGCAAATAGTATAATGCTCGCTACATTAATCTTATCTTTGACCAATTCACAGAAAATGGTTAATGATAAAGATGAGCCAATAAATATTTATGGTGTTAAAAAACATAGATGTACAAAAAGGCAAAAAGTTTCAATAGTATTACGATTCTCAGATACTATACATTCCTTTAGAAGTCAAATAATATCACTTTTGAAGCTCATGTAAACCTAGCATAACAAGCAATAAGATAAATTATATAAACTGAAAAAACCATAGATACAAGGATTTATAAAACATACCAACCCAAACACCAGTTAAACCTTCAAGCCGGGAAGCTTTGATAGAAAATGCTGAGGAAAGAGCAAGAATGATCACCTCCTCAAGCGCCCTGAGGTACCAATGCAGATCCATCTTGTGATAACGCAGATTGATAATAGGGTACATAACTAGCTACAGAGCAATACATGGGCATGAAAAGTTAGAAAATACAATAAAGTCGGTTGATCTCATAGTCAATTGCTTCACATACTCAACCAATCTTTTAGCATAATCCAGCATACCCACAAAATGAGACTATAAATCAACACATAGAAATGTTAACTTAGTCTGGATTCATTAACTTAGAAACTCGTATCCCAAATGAGCAACTCGAGACTTGAAAAGGATGCTTTGAAGATAAGCTCTTCTAAATTTTGATCTTTGTCATACATTCATATCACATTTTTCTTTAGGGCAAGCTTACATGCTAATTTCATTAACATTAGTCACCACTCATATTAAGGCTACGAATTTTACATCTCATGTAGATAGTGCTTTAGGGTGTGCAAAATTCCATTTATATATATTCAATAATAGGGAAAATATCATAGTACAAAATACAATGGAGTGATTATCAAAGGAAATCCGGTCCTTGGGCTTGGGCACCTCGGCCCCTATTTATAGGCCCGGGTCCTTACATGAGTGGGGAAGTTTCCTCGAGACTCCTACTAGGGTAGCCATGATGGTTATTCTAGATACAATAGGGGTATTCCCGTACTTTTGTCTTGAGGATAGGTACTACCCATCCTTTCGAAGGTGGCAGTAATTGAACTATATTAATGTGATTGTCAGTGTCTTGGTAATTGAACTATATTAATGTGATTGTCAATGTCTTGGTCGGACTCGTTGGCATTTAGCTTGCCAAAGTGCCCGGCTCGAGTGGACTCTGGTGACATCAGATGTGCCAAGTGGCTAGGTGGACTAAATCCCCTACACTATCTGCTCCAGAACAATTTCATTCCTTCTATTTGCCACCTATTAATGTGGCTTTGAATACGATGCTTTAGAGTATACAAGCAAAGTAAGCAAACGCTAATCATCATCCTTTAAAACCCATTAAACTGATTACCAGGTAAAACAAAAAATGATGAGATTAATATCCATATCAACTATTGAAATTCTACAAATCAAAAGAAAATTAATGAAATGTGTTCAAAATAGCAGAACAATTACCTGCCCTGGTCCATGATATGTAACTTCCCCGCCCCGTTCGGTTCGATACACATCCAAAGGAGCTTCCTTTATGTCAAAATTCAAAAACTCTTCTGAGCTACCAGCACCCAATGTATAAACAGGTTGGTGTTGTAGAATGATCAAAGTGTCAGACCAGTCTTCGTTCCTTTCAATTAATGCTTTCCTCTCTTTGACAATGGATTTTTGCCAAGACCACGCTTCCCCATATGGAATTAGCTCATTATACAGATCAAACCAGTCGCACCTGTAACAAGAGCTGATCAAGCATTACAGTGCACAGAAGATGTTTGTTAAAAAGCATGACATAGCGATTTTTACCTTCTTTTTCCTTTGTGGGTTATGGAGTTGGCCTCTGGAATCAATTTCGACAAGACAGAGTTTGACGGAGAACAATTTGATCTCTTTGAAGGCTTTTGAGATAGACATGTTGGGATTGGCCCCAATTTGAGACTCGCCACAACAATCATATCACGTATATATATGATTTATAATTTATATATAGTTCGAGAAGCCAATTATCGCAGAATTGGTGGAGAAACGAGTCAATTTCAATGGAGATTGAACTAGGGGTTACAAAAGGAGGAGAGAGGGAGTAACATAGCAACGTAATATCATAGCGGTGAAAGGGGTAATTCAGACATTTTGATTTTATTGTCATTATCTAGGAAAATATAAGGCCACTTTTGGTATTCACCATTCCAGCTCCGCGACGCAATAAACCCTAGAAAGAGAGACTGTTTCGGCTATAAAAGGAGCAAATAGCAGTGTCGCCTTCATCGCATTGCTCTTTTGTCTGAGGTAAGTTTCGCATCCAGATTTGTGGTATGAAGATTTCTCTCTGTGTTGCTCACTTGGTTGGTAATTTTTTCCGAGCTTCATTTTTTCATTTTCTTCGGAACAATGTATAATACTAATGGGGTTTCTCAGTGATGATTCAAAATGATGACGAGTCCGATCTATATCCATTCTATTAAACCTGACGACAAATCGAGGCATTTGTCTGAGAGAAACCCTAATATGGTTTATTTAACTTTTTTTTTTTTTTTTTTTTTTTTTTTTTTTTTTTTTTTTCCCCTTGGTTTCGGTTGTTGATTTTTACATACATCTATGTGCAAATATAAACACACACACATGCATGTGATTCCATATGAACACATTTTATCTGCCTTTTTTTTTTTTTTTTTTTTCTTTCATATAAGTACATTTGTCATGTTATTGTATATGAGCAGTAATATTAAAATGAACTTGTTAGGTGTATGCTGATCACTGATCCAAGTGTTTGGATACTTGAATTTTTTCACTTCAATTGAGTTGTATACTTTGTTTCTGCTTTCTTTTTCAAGTTCTTAGCCAACTATATGATTATATAATCTATAAAAGACTCTTAGATTATAAATTAGTGTTGGGAGGTTATTGCTTCTAATAGATTGGTGTATGGTAATCACTAGTGAATGATTTTGTTTTAGAAAGAACTAAAAAAATATATAAACCATTTCCTCTTGTATGAAGTATTATGCAAGAAGCCATAATACATAATATATACCTTAGTAAGATCAGATTTTGTTGGTTGTATTGTTTTTTGTTAACTTAAGGTTCAATTATAAAGTTACAACTAGACAATTATTTACTCGTAGGAAAGCTCTCGAGTTTTTTGGCCATACAATGGTAGAAGGAGTTAAAGCTGAGGGTACTATCCCTCTGCAATGGAGAACCTATGAGGTGTTGAGCAGAAGAGATCATGTGAGCAATAGCCTTCTTGCATTAATGTGATTTAATATAACTAATTGTTGGAAAGGCATATGACTTTTTCGCAGGAGTGGTGTTATATGCACCGATGGAACAGAAGTCCCGCGTCAATTAAGTTGGCAATTTTTTTTAAGTAAGATACAAACTTGACCCGCTGAAACTCTAACCATAGTTTTTGTCTGATCCCTCTCTGCTCTCTTCTCTCGTTATTCCATTTGCTTCTTGTCGCATCACTTCTGAATTCTTCCATAAGATTAGCACCACTTCAGCAAATGGTTTTGAAAAGTGAGTTATTTATCCCCAAAGCAAAGAAATTGTATCAAGAAAGCCAAAAAAATTGGTTTTTTGTAGTTTGGTAGAATTATCATCACTTCAGCGTGGGGTATTATAAAGTTCACTGATGTTCAAAAGTATCCATTTTCTTGAAGTGAAAATTTTGCTCTTTTTCTTACTCTTATGCCGAGTCCTTTTTCCACACTTTTTTATTGCCCTTTTTTTTATTGCTGTTTGGAAATTTTTCAATGATTTATGAGGTTTTTACATTTCATCCCAAGATTGGCCCAATTCAATTGACTAGTGCTGCCAATTAGATCCCAAACTCAGCCTTGCCAGTTTGTGTATTATATATGAAAAGACAGGAATTGCCGACCTCGTGCCTCTTTGAAGAAAGTTCATAGATTGATTTTTGACTAAATCAGAAGTTGCTTTCTCAAAAATCCACTTCAGGAATTGTCGGTTGATTTATCGCTGTTAGGTGGGAGTTGTTAAGCTCTGTAGCTCTGTTTTCTCTGACCAGCGCCCATCTTGCTTGGCTGGCTTCTCTTTTGATGCTTCTCCCCAGTGATCAGGTCTTGCCCTTGCTGGTCTGCTTCTTCCTCAAGCTTGAGTTATGGTTTATCTCTGTTTCCATGGTCAATGACTCAGATATCTTTCCTGTTTATCCAGTTATTTATTTATTTATTTAAAAATAAAAAAATTGGTTGCCACTCCCAGTGGTCTATTTTGTTTTGGCCTATTGTTGTGTTAGCCTGCTCTGGGCTTGTTTCTCGTTTTTGGGCCTCTTTTCGTCTGCTGGGGTATGCCCCTTTGCTCCTGTATAATATTTATTGTGTTGAAAATGTGCTTATAATTTGGTCTATATATATAGAAACAAAAGATGTGTTAGGGAATTACTACTTATGTCTTTGAGTTGATGTGCACCACTTCTTGTCCTTTTGTGCCCAGTTTTAGTTCAAATGTGCACCATTACTTTTGGATTTTTAACTTCAAAAGAAATGAAATATGATTTTATTACATATTATGATTATGTGCCCACTTTTTGTTTGAAAGTGCACGATTTCTAGGTTACAACCCCCCACCCAGCCCCGACCCGCAGGGAAGTTGCACCAATTCTAGTCTGCACCTGTTTAGTTTGAAAGTGTACAATTTTTTAGTTTGCTTGTACACCACTTCTAATTTGAAAGATCATCACATCCAGTTCAAAAGTGCATCATTTGCATGTGTCTAGAAAATGCTTTACTCCTTTGGATTGTTTATCTCAAAAGTACAATAGAAATGTGAATTCATTACCATATTGTAAGCATATGCACACCAATATTAGTTTTTATGTGCATTGTTTTTCGTTTGGGTGTGCACCACTCTTAATTTGATTACCCAACATATCTTTTTTGTATTGTTAATTACAGAAGTATAAAAAAAGTGTGATTTCATTATTATAGTTTGAGCATTTGTACCAATATTAGTTAGATGTGGAAAAAGGCACTATAGTTCAAAGGGCATACCCTAGGTATTAAAATTTAAAAAAAGAAAAGAAGAGAGCCCAACCAAATCAAGAGAATCCAATAAACCCATATGTGCACTACTTTTGTGTGCAATATTTAGTGCCTGCATTATACCTTCTTTAGTGAGTGTGTGTGGCTTTTGTTTTTAGTAGTAGAAGCAAACCTTGACTTTTTGATTTCCATCTTTGAATTTAATTTTGTCATGGGTCATACTAATGCTATTAAAGTTTTTATTTTCACTTGTACCTTATTCTCACCCTTCTATTAATTTTGGTTTTGATGTTGTAGGGTGTTTATGTGTTTGTCTTGAATGGATGATCAGGGTTGTAATGCTGAAGACTCACCAATTGTGTCTCAGCAGCACTCACCAATTGCGTCTCAGCCCCTGGGAGACTCTGAATTGAAACCGAAGTATGGGATGGAGTTTGATTCGGAGGAAAAAGCATATGATTTTTATAATGCTTATGGATACAAGGCTGGATTCAGCGTAAGAAGAGAGTATGCTAATAAGCACCGGACAACAGGACAAATTACTTCAAGATTGTTCGTGTGTTGTAAAGAGGGTTACAGAGGAAAAGACAAGAGGGACCATCGTACTAAGAACCCTAGGGCTGAGACGAGGACTGGTTGTGGTGCATTGATGCACGTCAAATTGGATAGGAACAAGGGAAAATTCTGGGTGAACAAGTTTGTTGAATTGCACAACCATCCCATGGTGAAAGAAGAATGTGCGCATATGTTGCCATCGCAGCGAAGAATTTTTAAGCCTCTCGTGATCGATAGAATTTTCAAAAATAAGGCAGTTGATGTAAATGAGGGTACTCAGGCAATTGATGTAAATGAAGGTGCTGTACAAGATTCATCTGGTGGTGGTAGTGAAGTCGATTTGGATCCGAAATTAGTAATAGCTCAGCGGTATAGGCATCTTTGTCGCATGTACGAAGAAATATGTTTTATGGCGGCGCAGGATGAAGAAATGTATAATCTGGTCCTAGACTCGGCATTGAAGTTGGAAAAAAAGCTTGAAGACGTGAGAAAACGAAAGCATGATGCACTTGAAGATCGAAACTCATCCTGCCAGTAAGTATGCTTTTGATCAATCTAGTAGCCTACTTGATGGAGGCTTTTGTTCATACCCCAGTAATTGTCATTGATCTAGTCTAACAGCAATGACAATTTAGTCGACCAGTGAGAGGAATTAACGGTCCTTATTTGTATTTGTTCTAAATCGGTACTGGGACTGGTAGCCTATTGTTGCATATATATACACATGTACATGTACATATTCATGTATTTAAGCAGGTACTTATTTTATGGATTTTGCTTTATTTATTTATTTATTTAATATAATAATGGAAACAATTTTGTAAATATGGTTGCGAAAGATGGTCCACAAATACGAAATTTGCTCTCTTTTTGTCGTCTTCCTCTCTAATTTGACGTGCATCACTGCACCACCACTAGTCTTGGCTCTTATTTTTGTAAAAATTGATATATTCTACGATAGCAATTTGTTTTTCTATCAATGCTAAATTTTTTAGAGAAAAAAATAAAATAAAATAAAATATGATTGCTAATGCTTTTATTTAATACGAGCGTACCACGGTCTTAACCGAATGGAATCGAACTACATCCAACCATGGTTCGATTTGGTTTTACGGTAAAAGTTATACCTCTGCATCCTCTTTCTCATTTATTTATTCTTATTATTATATATTTTTTTTTGGTGAAAATATTAGACCTATTTGGTTTAGTTTTTGTAGGTTTAGTTTTTGGAGGACCAAATAACTGTTTTTGTGTTTCTCTGAAAACTAAAAAGTATTTTAAATACAACTTGAATAATAATCAAATAAATAAAAAGATACAAAGTCAAAGTTATAATATAAATCAAAATCGAACTTGAGTTGCCTATGAAGGGTTCAGCTTATTTGCTATTGATGTTTTTTTTTTTTTTTTTTATACACACACACAAGAGTCAAAAGTATTTTAAAATCAAAGTCGAACTTGAGTTGCCGTCAATACTCGCACGTGTGTTCAAACAGCTCATTCGCATCTTACTATGTTTTCCGTCAATACTCGCATGTTTGTTCATCGATGAAAGACGAAGCTACGTTTCCAGTTTCGGGTAAAGCCATGCACAATGCACATGCACTCCCGACCAAGCTAACGGTCTTAAAACACCAACCAACCAGTAAAATTCCCAGTACAATACAGCTGCCACCTGTCCGGCTCACATTGCCAGTGGCCCCACACGCTTGACTGAACCCAATTCCACACGTAGACGTTTGGAATTCCAAAGTTAAAAAATCAAAACCACGCTCTCGAAGAAAAGTGGAAAAAGACTAAAGACAACCTCAGTAAAAGACAGACTCAGCTAATATGCTGCGAATCTTCTCTCTTGTACTATAAATTTCATCACCACCAAAGCAACAATTGCTACCAAACCAAACTAAGCTAAGCTAGAGACACAGCAACAACAATGGCAACTACTACTAGATTGCTACGCACTTCTAGGCCATTGGGTCTAGGTTCTTCGTCTTCCTCGTCGCCGTCTTCTTCTTTGTATAGGTTGGAATTGTCTAGGAGTACTAAGACAATTAGGTGTCTAAGCAAGGTGGGGATTGGTGGTGATGGTCACGAGGTTAGGAAGCTATTGGTGCCGGCGGTGAAGGTGTCCGTGGCGGCTTCGGAGAATTTTGTCACTTCGAAACCAGAAACCAAAAGAGGAGGAGTGGATGATATGGTGGCTTCTCTACTTGCAAATGTTAAGAATACCGCGCTTTTGATATTGAAGGTGGCTACCAAAAGAAGGCCATGGAGATTCCATGTCCAGATGCTTGTGGCAAGGGTATATATGTCATGTCTTTTCTTCTATTTTACATCTTATATATGTACTATTGTTTTGAACTGTCACAAGTCTAATAAAGTGCAAGCACTTGATTATGATTGCTTTAGTAATTGACTAAGCATGATAATTGACTTATAATATTAATTTTGAAACTAATGAAATAATAATATATTGCAGATTATAATTGACTGCCGATTCTTTACATTGTTTGCTGTTGCGGGAACTTTAGTTGGTTCAGTACTGTGTTTTGTGGAGGTAATTACATCTACTACTATATACTATATATATCATATATGAAAAGATTGATGCTTAGTTTCATATATATATATATATATATATATATATATATATAATGGTTTTATGGGCAATAATTAACCAAGTAATTCATACTGTGTAATTGCAGGGTTGTTTTTTCGTTTTGGAGTCATATTTCCACTATTTTCATGCATTGTCTCATAGATCATCAGATCTAGGACATGTGGTGGAGCTACTAATTGAAGCCATAGGTACCCTCTCTCTCTCTCTCTCTCACACACACACACACACACACACACAACACAATTATAAGTTTGATTTTTTCTGCAATATATGGTTATTAAATATATAAAAATAATTTTATGCAGATATGTTCCTGTTAGGAACTGCGATGCTTATATTTGGGATAGGACTGCATGTCATGTTTGTGGGATCAAAAGGAAAAGGGACACAGCTTCCGGGATCAAATTTGTTTGGCCTTTTCTATCTCAAGGTACTTTAATTCATAAGTTTCCTTATATATATATATATATATATATATAGCAAATGAAATAAATAAATTACACTAAAAATGCTAATTAATGTTGTTTGTGCAGACACTTCGGACATGGGTTGGAATGAAGTCAGTTGCTCAAGCAAAGTCGAAAATGGGGCACGCTGTGGCGATGCTACTTCAAGTGGGAGTGTTGGAGAAGTTCAAGAGCGTAGCTGTGGTTACTGGCTTTGATCTGGCATGCTTCGCCGGTGCCATCTTTCTTTCCTCAGCTTCAATATTCGTCTCTCTAGACTTGCTGTTGGTCGCACTACTCTATCAAATACTAGCTAGTCCAAGCTAGGAGTTTCGATCAAGATTTTCCAATATCTGCTCAAATCACTGAAAAACAAAACTCCCCTAGTTTTATCACACTTTAGCTGCTGCCTACACATCTAAACAACAACAACGACGACAACACATATATCGATGAAGCAAGCCAAGACTGACCTTTTTGGATACCCATTATTTTCTGTTCAATTATTTTTTTCTTTTTTTAATCTATTCTATGTATCTCAGTTAAAGATCCTTCTTTGTAAGGAATATTATATTGTTGTAATATTTGAAAAATATATATACCGTTCATGAAGCACTCAATTTGTAATCAGATTTCGTAATTGATCATCACTATCATCAATATTTGTGGTCAAGGGTTGAGTCTTTAAAGGAGCAAAGTGATTGTGTAAATATAATGCGTGTGAATTTCTTGTTATTGACTATATATATATATATATACACTTAATTAATTTATTTATTAGTCACTTAATTAATTAATTTATTAGTCCCGATAAATAAGTCACACATTCTTATTTGTACCAATATATATATATATATATATATATAAGTAGAAGTCCAAAAAGAAAAAGAAGAGAAGAAGAAGTCCCTTCCAAAATTGCTTAGAGCAATACATGTTTCACTGTGCGCACTGAAAAATAATCATCTGTGGATGAAAAATAATCAGCACTGAAAATTCGTACTCTCTTTATTTTGAATAATTAGGGCAATGGACAAAGATTAAATATATTAAGACTATGTTTGGTAGGTATGAAATTAAAATTTTAGAAATGAAATTTGTAGCATTGAAGAAAAGCAATTCAGAAAATTAAATCAAAATTTTCTCCAATTATAATTCTAAAACTCTAATTTTATGCAGCCTTAAAAGCTTGTTTCTTGAACGAAATTAGAGAAAAATAATTTAGAAATTGACGTACGGCATTTGAGTCCTCAAGCTGCCAACCAACCATGCAACCTCACCAACCGGTAAACAACCTGCAAATCCTTATACTCTAGAAAGGACAAAAATCATATTAACCTACACATTCACTTGTTAGAAAAATATTCTTCATAACAATATTTTGCTAGAAAAAAATTCAACTTTGCACGCATGTTTGCTTTCACAAGTGCTTGTGAACAAAGGAATATAGTATTTAATCATACAATTTGGATTCTACTTTCTTAATAGGGCAAAAAGAGGCTAATTAAAGATTCTAAAAAATACCTATAATAATAATAATAGTAATAAAAATTTTGATATGAGAACAAACTAATTAAGGTTCAAGAATTAGACTTATAATTGGAGAAAAACAACCCACAAAATTGAATTAAAATTTTCTCTCATTTCAAAGTTCTAATTTTATGTAACCGAACACACCGTATAAAAAAAATTTATTACCTCAACTTGTAGACAGTGATTTAGTGGCAATCTATGTAACACGGACATGTCAAACAGGTACAATGTGGACATGATTACATATAAATATAAATTTTTATTTTTGTATATCTATTCAAAATAGTATTATAAAAGTTTAATTCATTTTTAATTTCTATACTAAGAGTTGTTCTTGATTAAATTAGAAAATAAAATTACGTCATTATTGTAATAATTTTTATATCATATATACCAATATTTCAATACTTTGTCATGATAGTATTCATATTATTTTTAAGATTAATGAATTAACTAGTGTCCGAAAAGTGTCTAGGAAGTGCAGCAAAATGTCCAAAATAATAAAATTAATTTTTATTTATGTCCGACACAGGTACAACTCCTCTGTAGAAGTGTCCATGCTTCCTAGGTGACAATATGGCACTCATAAGCTATTGTACCATAATGCATCTACCAATCCAGCATCCATCATCCTGATAACTGAAATCAAAAAAAATTTAGCTTTACGATCACTAACTCGGCTAAACCAAGCTAGAAACATTATCCAATCAACGCATATACATACATTGTTAGTCATTAGCATTGCATAAGGAGCGTCACAATTAGTACAACGATGAGGAAACCGATATCAACAGTTTAGTATTCTTTGCATTCTGTCAACAAACTTCTCACCAAGATGATAGTTTGGTTGAACCTCGCTTTTGGATGCATCGGCAGTGGCCGACGTTCCCAACCACAAGAACCTAACTAGGTCATGTTCACCAATGCTTGCAAATGCTAATATGTTTTTTATTTTTAAAAAAATATGGGAAGGTAATGAAAGGAAGCAAAGATTCATATCCATCAAACAAGCACGTATATGAAAAAGAAATATACAAATGGGGCAAATAATTTAACCTGTGAAATAATATACAAACATGAGGTTCATATGAACCATTTTAATGCACGCAAAAATTCTCGATCTAATAAATAAAATGGGAAGGGGTGGGGATCAAACAAGGAAAATTAAATTACAAGAGACTTTAGTACAACACAAAATGGAACTTTCCAAAATTATTAACACCAGCCGTCTTTCTCTCTCTACATGGACGCCAAAAGTTCCCTCATTTCTCCTACAGATGGAATAGTCTCATTGGGGTATATCCTGGCAACAAGTTGTGCAAAGCTATCATATTTGTCCAGAAATTCCTTCTGTCAAATCATAAAAACAGCCTTATTAGATGCAAACAAGTAAGATCCTTTAACTATCAACAAAACAGCCTTATACAGCCTTATTAGATGCAAGTAAGAAGCTCCTTCTGTCAATAATAGTACAGTCTCGTGAGATATAAACAAGATCAATAAATCTTCATTCGCGAGTCTATTTCTAGCATATTACCTATCAACGAAAGAAATGCCAATTTAGTCATTATTTTATTTTTTTTATGAGGAGGAAAAAAAAAAAAAAATTGGTGGTCAATCTCACTTTTAAAACTGAAATACAAACCTTCATTTTACTTGCCAAAATACTTTGAAATTTAAGAATATCAATCTTTAAAAAATAAGTTCAAAAAAATTACATTTGATGCAAATCCAAACTATGCAACGGCTCCATTTATGTAAGAAAGTTCTTACCAAGGAAAACAGTATATTTGAACTTTTGACTGCTATGCCATTTATCAAATTATTCACATTCTTCACAAAATGAAAAGTGACCCACCACCACAATTTGGTTACCAATTCCCCATCCTAATTCCTCCTATTTTTGTCCTACCTCATGTAGTTAATGATGCTACATCTATAGCTGTCTCTCTACATGACCTGTTTCATTGCCTTCCATCCCCATTTTCTAACACAGCTATATTTTTTCCCTCAACAACAGCCACAGTTAAAAATTCTACTGCAACAATTGCAATAGCTTTTCCCGCATTTCTATTCCCAACTGTTTCACTCTCAGGCAAGCAGATTACCATCGCCCATGCTGAGGCTCCATTTATGCCTTCTCCATTTTTAAACTCAAAACTCTCATTTTACCTCAAAACTCCTTCATTCTCTCTCCAAATGCCCAAATAAAGAAAATAGAAGAACATCTTAATTCACAAAGCCAAATCAAACCAAAAACAAGTGGTGGACAGATTGGTTGACGGAATGAGTCCGAGGTGAAGAAGCTGTGGGATTGATTTGGATCAATGGGATCATGTAGCGGTTAGATGGATCGGCTGGAGGATACCTGGAGATCTTCAGAGGATGTTTCCAAATTACCGACTGAGATCCCTTTAGCACATAACCAGGCTGTTCAAGTAAATGACAGGAACTCCATTCACCAAAGAACAAATTCCATGCTTAATATAGATGAAGGTCAAGCTGACACTTGTCAGACATTGCAAACTAAGCAGATGAAAGGCAGGAAAGGAAAGGGAAGTCGATCACAACAGCCTCAAGGGGTAAAGAAGTAACTCTAAAGCTTCTTTTTATTGATTAATATATGACCTTCAATAAATTTTGAGGTTAGAATACTTATTCTGGAGAAGCATATAAGCTTAAGTGGGATTCGTGAAACCAAAATACTAGATACTAACGGTTCTCTGCTAGGCCAAAATTCTTCTAGTGTGAGCGTAGAATTTTGGTTGATTCACCCAAATTCACTACTACGCCAAGTTCCTTCTAGTTTGAGGGAATTTAGGCTTGCTAAGATATTGGAAAGTTCTCTGTGTTGTTTTAGTCAGTAGTGAACAAATGAAAGTCTACATTTGTTGCATTAATAGGATCTGTCTTCCTCAACATAGTTCATCCCTATGCTTTCTTCTATGAAGTTGAATTTCTCCTTAGCTCCCCCCAAGTATAACCCCTGCAATTGTATGTATACATATACATATATATATATATATACATATACATATATATATATATTGTCTTTTTTGTTTTTCTAACAAAACCCTAAAAAAATAAAAAAAGTTACGGCCTACGGACGGGGATATCACCAAAAATACCAGTTTACCATCAGGTGTTGCATATATATGATTTGTGGTTTTATTGTTCACTTTTGCTTCATAGGTTTAAATTCAGGATATTCTTGGGGTGGTCCAGTACTGGTATGCCTGAGATTTATATTGTTACAAAATTTCCATTTTTTCACTTTCTATCTGCCTTTTAAACCAAGTTATTCCTTTGTCATATAGCCAGATAATTTTCAACTTTCAATAAATCCTGAACATCTATTGGAGAAGACACTTTTTGTGCTCGGATTTGATTTCCGACATACCTTGCATTTATCCCATAATGAAGGCAGCAATTCCTCTGAGGTTAAGTTCTTCTGCAATTTCTTATACATTATACTGATGGACTTGTCAACCTGTACAAAACAAAATTGTATTAACAAAGTACCTTGCAACTAAAGACTGTAGATTCTAGAGGTTATTGACTTACCCCAGATAAACTGGATTTTACCACCTTCCGAAGATCCAGTTTTGACAATCCAAGCTGAAATGGTATCTGAAATATTTGAAGGAAACTACTCTCAGAAATGACATTGGCCAACTTGGTTACTATGAAGGTGGAAAATAGTAACTGATAGACCTCTGAAGGGTAATACAAGCAATGATGTGAATCATGTGATAGCACCAGTTACAGTAGCTCAAATATATAGCAACTGAGACAGAATGTCAAAATGCCCAGGGAAGAGTAAGCAGTCCTGCTGATAGCAAGGCCCCAGGCACTGGAAAATTTTCAATATCGGAAACTATTTCTTCTCCTCCTTTTTTTTTTCCCCATTGAACATTTAATATACATTGTTTTACATTTAATAGACAAATGATGAAAATAAAGAAGAAAAATCTCGTCATAGAAAAAGCAATTAATGATATAAAGAACAGCGTTAAACTTCCAAATCGAAGGTCGGGGATTCAAGTCCCCATAAGGGGGCAAGTGGGTGTGGGTGTGTTTCTTGCCAAGGTATAAAAAAAAAAAATGTGTTAAACTTCTGCATACTAAGAAATTTCAACTTTTCGACTTCCCAAACATATTATAGTCAAAACTTCCACTACGATCGGTTATTTCTTTCATGATTGAAGTTATTAATTGACAAACCATATTTAAAGTTGCAAGATACAAAGCCATATATAAGTCGACATAATATCACCAAATACAATGCAGCAACCTCAAAGGAAACAAAAAATATACAAGACGCCAACTCTTCTAAAAAAATTAGCATATAAACTGAGATTGCACTTTATGGAGTTGCATAATTCACATATAGTTCATAAAAACATATGTTTTATATCAAATAGGGAATTAAAGATTCCAGGCATACGTGTGACATGTGCACATGATTTCTGAGGATCACAACACACAACACCATAAATAATCTGAGGAACATAATGCATCACTACCATACACTACAAGGCCACTGTATACAATACCCGGGGGTATTTTGACACGTGGTACCCCCCCACCCAATGAAAGCTCCACATTTCTCTTGGAAACTCCTCACTCTCTATTACCAAAGAAAATAGAGAGCTTTCATTGAGAGGGGTACCACGTGTCAAAATACCCCCGGGTATTGTATAGTTTCTCCACTACAAGACATGAAGGCACATGTTCTCTAAAGAAAGTATTAAACCCCTCAAAAATTCCCATGAAGCAAAATTTTACTTGTATTCTTAAGAATGTCCTTTTTATCAACATATATATATATATCTGCAATTAAGCTAAGTTAATCATTTCCTGTCCAGCATCTTGGTCGATGTTGAAAGCATGTGATACACTGTTCCTCAAACATGTCTAGAGGATTAAACTATATGAAACAGGAGTACCATGAGTCTCAGCTGTAACAATAGTCACCCTTCAAACATAGTTCCGCTCATACAGACGCTAACTCAAGAATCCATGGTGTGGTGCAGTAGTAATCTTACTAAAGCAACTACGATATTCTAAGCATCTATCTGCAAATAACATTCTTATTGAGAATAAGGTATAATATGCAATCATTCAGAGACCAACCTCTTCTGGCGTGATTGTGTACATCAAATCCTCGATTTTTCGATGAAACTGGAAAAGTCGTTCAAATTGCTGGAAGCAACAAATTTAGTGAAAAGGTGCCTAGTTATTTAAGAATACATCATAAGAAGAAAACTTGGTAAATTTTTATAAAATATAAAACAAAATTTACAATCAATTAATTTTTTTTATAATTATAAATAAAAAAATAAAATAAAAAATAAAAATAGAGCTTTAGAGATGGATGACTTACATAATATATGATCACGCTGATATGACTTGTGCAAGCTACTTCATACTTTTCACTTGCTTGGTTATAAAATCTTGCTAAAGTGGGCACAACATTGGCAAGGTCATACAGACTGCATGCAACTTGTAATCAGCAAGTCGATGGTGATAATTGTTGAGAAACAAATACAATGCTTTAAGAAGCACTGACGTGAAGATCAACTTATAAAAGCAAAAAAAGTGTGCAATATATTCATGAATACCTATTCTGAAAAGCAGCATAGTTCTCTAAAAGAAAAATATCGGCATATTTTGGGTCTGTCTTGGCAATATTCTCCAAAGTTCCAAACATCACGCTAACCTGTCAAACAGTTATCCCCATATTCTAAATGCTTAAACCATATATTTTAAATAAAAAACTAAATAAAAAATTCAATCTTGCAAAAACAATTAAAAAGTACAAATCCTGAAAAGAGTTAAATGTGCTACCTCACTAATCACAGTCAGATTATAAACATCACGGCAGCATAAGGACTGACTAAAGGACAATCCATATCTTTGGTAGAGGGATACCCATACACTAGTCACCTGAACAGTCCCATTTACATGTTATGTACAGTGCAACACTTCCGAATCTTGAATCTTTTAGGTGAGGGGTGTTTCTCATAATCTGAAGCGTATTTTATGTACACGGAATTTCCAAATTTTAGTCTATGTAATTATAATTATATTGTCTACATAATTATGCATAGCTACCCAAAAGAAGTATTCATGAGTGCAACTTTGTATCTGAAAATGTTTATGTCAAATTATTTAATGCAGTGTAGGTTATTATTGAGAGTAAAGGGTAATACTGTAAATTTAAAGATAATTGCGATAGTTATATGGACTTTAATATTGCATTCACCAAATGTCTTCTCTTTTTTGAATTCCTTATAATGAAATTCCTTTTAGTATTAGGAAGCTCTCCCAAACGCTACCTTAGTATCCCACACTAGCTTTTTTGGAAACAGCAGGAGCTCCTGCTTTAAATGATTATGCTCACTAACACACACAAGGAAAATTTCTAAGCAAGAATCGCTGAATTATGACACAAGAACTATTGCACAAAACCAACCTTCAAGTAAGCTTTTATTTGGAAGCGCTTGAAGCAGACTCCACGGATTCTACTAAACAGTTGAGATGCCCATTTAGTGGATGTCTTCAACTAATTCCAGAAGCAAACTTCTGGATCCTCGTCTCTTTTACTTTATATTGTACAAACCTATATCCATAATTGATACAAGGCCTATTTAAGTCCTTGAGAAAGCTTTCAGGACACGAGATACCACTCTATTCCCTTATGGTAATGATCTTCTAAAAGATCAAAAGGTGCTAAAAGGGATGCTCTTATCATGTTATTGCTGAAAATAAAGACCGAATGATTTAGGTAGGAAAATATTGCACGCATTTCAGGGCTGTCTTTGATTCAGGTATTAAATCAGATCACATTGCTAGAGGTACTATACTGATCAATACAAGAAGGATAAAGACAAATCAACTCAATAAAACTTCACTTGAATTGCTTGCACCACAATTACGTACTCGAGCATTACAAAATCATATAATTTTCTTTGGCAAATTACACTGCTGATAACAACAATAATATGTTGTAAGAGGAGAGTACTCACAAATTTAGTGTATGCCTTGTCAACCAAATCCCTTGATTGCCCCTGGATATACTGCTCCATACGGGTCGCAAGAGTTGCAAATCTATGCAGAAATGTATAAACAACATATGAAATGATTCTAACCAATAACTTAAGTGCTTATAGGGAAAGATAAACTAACAATAAAGTGCCATCCAAAGAACTTAACAAAGCAGTCTTGAAACTTAATTTTGTAACAGGTTCATATAATACAGTAATGCAGAAAGCTAAATCTACGAAATCATAAAGCAAAAGTTTGGATAAATAATCAAAATGGACCAGTTAATTAAACAAAAAAAGAGCATATGTAAGGTAGTGAAAAAAAAGTCCAGAAGGATTATAGGTAACAAACATACAGCAGGAAAAACCGTCCTGAATTTTGGCAGGGTTTGATTCATTTATTTTCTTGGACAAATGTTGTGGATGATAAGCATGATATGCAGGTTCAAGTTTTAGAAAAGCCACTTTGTGGGAATAGTACTAAGTGCACCTCATATTGACAGGACCAACACTTGGTAGTGGCATATTTAACTGGAACTAACAAAGGTTCACAATCATGCTGATAACAACGAACAACTTAAAATTGAAAGAGTAAGCAAATCTGTCATACAAAAAAAGGGGCCAGGTCAGAATGTTCTCTAATTGGAGTTAGTTAAGAATGTACCATTACAGGATTTTTAGATATTTTAGAGCACGTCATTCTCAAACTTAACATCTCCAGGTACAGCTTACTATTTTTGAGAAACATACCAGTTCAAAAGTTATCTTTGATTTTTAGAGGTCACAAATAATGTTTAGAAAATTTTGAGCAATCTGAAAACTGATAGTCCCCCATTGTACATTCCATATATGTCTGCTCCTAATTCATTCCATCTGACCAAAAAGTGGAATTCCTTAACTGACAATTGCCTAGAATTAGTAGAATGGGAGTAGAATGCAACAGCATAAATCACTTAACAGAAGCATAAACCTGTGAGATCCAGTTCACCTTGGTATATATGACAAGACGCCCATTTGCCGAACATTTCGCTCATTTCTTTCAATCTGGTGACAAGCTTCATCAACAAACTGCAATAGAGTTCACTACTTGAGTGGGTAAATGTCATTACAATAAGAATGCAAATGGCTGCAAATCATTCAACATAAAGGGTAACTCACCCGACTGAACTGCATAGAAATTCTAGATTCTAGGTCATCAAGCAAGATACGGACAAATCCTGCTGCATCAGCTTTCTGACCAGAAATATAGCGTTCTGTGATCCCATGCATTGATATGCAGCGCAAAGGATCAATCTTGTATGCCCAGTCCACCACAGCATAAAAGTCTTCCTAAAATTTAAATAAATAAAATATAAAATAAATAAATGATTGGCGAACAGCCAAATACACTGCTGCAAAGCGACATTTGAAAATTTTAGAATGCAAAAGGAAATTGTTGCTGAAAAATCTAAATAATTAAGGCAAATGTTAGAGGAGGAGAGACAGGGAGAGGGGGAGGGGGGAAAGCAAGCAAAAATTAACATGAGCACATTTAGTAACAAAAGATGTGATAACATGTGGTTGGACTGAAAGTATGGCCTTTCATAATGTAGAACGAGAAAATAGGATTCAAGTAGCCATCCTCAAATAGTTGAGAAAAGCCTTTGTTAAGTGTAACAAACCATATACATGGAGAACTATACAATTCCTCCGGTATACAAACCTCAGTTCAATCTCAAGTTCAAACCAAAAACCATCTAATAGAATTTAAATCTCCATACTAAGGACAAAACCAACCCTGACCGGTATAGAACTCAACTGAAACCCATTGATGAAGTCTTCTTAAAAGAGATTTTTAATTATAAGTTCGGGACTTCATTCTGGATCACCAGGCATTAGATTCTACATAGAATAGTGCAGATGTTAAATTCTACAATTCCAACATAAGCCAACAATTATAATCTGAACTTGGTGACAATCAACAAATTCTCTTTTTCTTTTTCCGGGATAAATAGGAGCGTCAAGAATGTTTTACGTTATAAAGTAAACTCCACCCCTTTAAAGAGGCATAATCATTACATAACAAAAGCCAGAAATAAAGTTCAGTAACTGATATAATGAAATTAAACAATATATTACCTGTATCCCATCAAGTAAATCCTGAAGTGATTCATTTAGTGCTCCCAGCTCTGAAGAATTTTTACCTAAAAAATTAAATAAACAGTGCTGAATCAACTTTAGCAGGGATGAACAAGATCAGGTCATTTGGGAAAAGAATTACCTGTTTTGCTGTCATTCTCATCGATGTCCATGATGCCCAAATCGTCATCATTGCCATCATCGTCATTGGTTCCAGTCTTGTTACCATTGGCAAGACCTCCTGGTGGGACAAGTGCAGGAACTTCAAAGCACATGAAGTGTGCAAAAAAAGAACTCTGCAGTTTGAGCAATGGAAGAACTAAAGTGTTAATACAAGGAAAAAACATATCATTGAAATTTAAAAGTTATAAAAGAAAAGAAAAAGAAGAATAATAGATAATTAGGGTTGCAACCTCATCGACAAGAAGTGGGATAAAGATCGTAAGCATTTTGGCGTAGGCCTCTGAAACTGTAGAAGTATCTGCATTGTTCACACTTTGACTGGAACCTGTGGAAGCTTCAAGCCATACTGTTGGATTTCTTGATGCTTTGGTACTAGCACGAAGCTCATTTGCAAATTCACGAGCCTGTAAATGATGAAGAAAACTTTCATTCACCACATTTTGAAACTCCTGAAATTCCTAAACTGTAAGAAATCCTACACCCTCCACCTCCAACAGAATTAACATCAGTGGATAAGCTTTAACATTAGTATAATCCATAAATCATAAGAGAAGGCCACATATGATGATATAGTAGCTATATGAAAAGAAGGTTTTAACACATAAGATTTTATATGAAGAAGCCCAAAAGGTCCTTATAGGGGGTCAAAAAACAGAAAAGATCAATGGAGATATCAAATTTCACAGAGAATTGACATATACTCTTAAGGTTTGATCAAGTGCAATGTGTTGAGTAAATCTTATGGAGTTCTTAATATTGGGGAAGGGAATGGGAGGTGATAGGTTTCCAAATTCCACATTTTCAGATTAAACAGGAAAAAAAATAAAAATTAAACATGAATTTAGCAAACAACATTTGCATAGTTACCACTTAGCACTCACCAGCACAACCAAAAACATCCTAAACCATATGAATTGAATGGTGGAAAGGTTTACACAACAATATTTTAGATGTAAAAGTAATTTCATATTTTCATTTATGAAGCATTTGATGTATATGTTGTGCATAATGAACAAGCCCAAAAAAGGCTTACATAACCTGCCCCAACAAGTTATGACAAATACTTGTATGCATATGTATATTACTTTCACATATAAATACACTTATGTGGGGAAGAGAGAGAGAGAGAGAGAGAGAGAGAGAGAGAGAAATGCATTATCAGCCGACTGTGTCAACCAAACTTGATAAACCCCCTAGAACCAATTCATTTGTTAATGACGAATGGATGAATTGTTTTCCTTATTCTGAAGCCATCTTTCTTCATCCTAATATTTCTGACCATAGCCCTTGTGTGGTGAGAATTTTACCTAACATGCCACAGAGTGCCAAGCCTTTTAAATTCTGACTTCTGGGCAGTTGATGAGGAATGACTTCAATAGTCAAGTTTCATCAGTGTAGGAGCATGCCTTCAATCATTGATAAGAACTCAGAAGTTGAGTGCTGGTGATTCAACAAGCATCAGTTTGTCAACTAAGAACTGGTGAAGAGTCTTAGTTTTACTGTGAAGGTTCTTGAAGAGGCAAGGAGATTACAAGTCCTACCAAACTCTACTTATCAAAAAATTAAAAATAGAAATAAAGTCCTATCAAACTCTGACCCACTTCAAATCCACCAACAGTTTTATTAATAGTCCACAGATGCAAAATATCATAAGAGGCCTGTCTTTGAGACGCTATCCAGCTCTCCGACACTGAAGAATATTTTGTATTCTATCCAGTTTTCTAGCAAGATATACAACAAAGAATAGGTGCTACCGTGCTAATTGGTTCTAAACCAAAGTGACCCTGCTTGTGCTGGCTCAACTATAGATTGATACTGGATTGAACCTAACTACCTTACAAACTAAGTCATCAAGTGGATGGTGATGCCAGAGAGTTTAAAGACAGTTTCTTCAGAGATAGTATAATTAACCATTATGGTTTCATGAAGTATAATCCAAGATAGGAATAACACCAACAGAAAAAAAAGTAACTGCAAGTCAATTAAATAGAGGTTTATTGTCCTCAAACCTCCCGGCGTAGAAGCAAATTAAGGGAGCTACAGTAAGCTTTCCTCAATGGACCCAAGCAATTCTTATCAAGAGACTGCAAATGCAAAAGAAAAGAAGAGAAGATTCAAAAAAAAAAAAAAAATTGAAGTAGAGAAGAAGGACTAATGATAACTATTAATAGTTGTGGAAGTTTCCAAGAAATTTGACCTTCAGGTGTTGCAAAAGGCGAGCATATGTCCTGCACTTGTAACGCAGATCAGCGTGATCGGGCCTCTTCAATTGTCCACGCTGTTAAATCCAAGAAACAAGTAAAACTCAGGATTTTCATTCCCTAAGACTAACAAATACCATAATAAGCAACATCTTGTGGGAGTACCTGAGAGAAGTAACTCTTGTCACTTATCATGAAATCCACGAGACTAGCAAAGTAGTTTCTCAAAAATTCAGATGCTCTCCGAACAAAAGTACTTTTCAATTTTTCAAGTTCTGCCCGCTTCTCTTTAACCTGTAAGAGTTCTATCTGCTTTTTAGAATAGGATTTCTCAAAATATTTACACAGAATGCCAGTTTGCAATTCAGTTCAAAGGCAAGAAATAAATTCTCATGACTGATCAAAAAAATTTGCCATTAGGGTGGGGAAAGGCCTTCTACTAAGGCTCACACCACCTATTCATGAATGTGCAGCAGAGTCCCTGATCCACAACCAGGGAAAGAACAGAAAGGCATGTGACTGCACATTCAGGTCGACTCCTGAACACAGAGTCTCTAATCCTCACTATTGCAGGGGAAAAAAAAAAAAGTAGTTAATATCAGGTCATGGGAAAATATAGTTCTAAATGGGAAAATCAAAATTAAGCCTTACAGGAGCTATACAGTATATGGGCTTGACTATAATTGCCATTTTTGAGGTTACCAAAGAACCACACTGACATCCAGCTCATAAAGTTATTCTAAAGACTAAAAGACCTTCATGGGTTGATTGCCTTCTTGATCATATAATTTTTTAACCATAAAACTTAATATATCAAAAAACATATATTGTCAAAGAAAATGAAATTTCAAATTGATTCTGAGATATGAAAAGAGTGTGGGAAAGGCAAGAAAATTGCGGCTGTAAATTAACACTTGATTCAGAAAATTACAAAATCACAATAAATCCAGATCCTATGCAATACTAGGTACACATCCCATGGCTCATGAAAAGATTGGCATCATCAACCCCAGGCATGCTATGTGTCAGTTTCTTATAATAGCTCATACAAGCATAGATATCGAACCCAAACTAGATTGGCAGTTCTATTGTTAAATATGTGAATTAGTGGGATGAGTCTGTTGGGCCATCTGCAAACCTTAGACCTGGCTGATATATATATTTTTTTGATAAGTAATAATAACATAAAAAAGGCGTTCAAAAGGGGAACGCGTTCCTTATACAGAAATGGAACCGGGACGAAGGCCCCAAAGAATCCAAAAAAATAATTAAATCTTCAGAAAAAGAGCAAGAGCTCCTCTTCACATAATTGAAAAGAGAACGAAGAATGTGAAGTTTCACCATTGCCGTAGATGACTCTTTCTTTTCAAACATTTTACTATTTCTCTCCCTTCCAAATGCGCCACCATACACAATGTGGAACAATTCTCCAGAAATCGAGTACATCCCTTCTCACACGACATCCTTCCCATACATGAATCAATTCCTAACAACCCAAAAAAAAGATTCCAATAGTCGTTCGCCACAAGGCAATGCATAAGGAGGTGATCAACAGACTCCCCATCTTTCTTGCATAGACATCACCAATTAACAATACAATTGCCCTTTTTCCTCAAGTTATCAATTGTCAGAATCTTTCCCCAAACAGAGGTCCAGATAAAGAAAGCCACCCTAGTTGGAGCCATGGACCGCCAAATAGTTTTCCACGGGAAGTCACGATTAACAAAATTAGACAGACATAAGAACAAGGATCTTACTTCGAAACGACCGTGGGAAGAAGGAACCCAAATCAAATCGTCATTATCTCTGCCAACACCCTCTTGCCGATACTAAAGATACAGAAAAACACATACCTCATCCATCTCCCAATCCTGAAAAGAGCGCCGAAAGTGCACATCTCACGTAATCCCACTGCTATCAAGATGATAACAATCAGCTACATAGGCGTGTTTATCAACTGCAATACTAAACAATCTAGGAAATGTACAAGATAGTGGCTGATCACCACACCAAAGATCTTCTCAAAACCGAACGCGACGTCCATCACGAACTTTGAATTTGGTATGAGCAGAAAAGGCATCCCAACCCTTCCGAATAGACTTCCACATCCCTACTCCTCCCACAATAGTAACCGGACGTGTAGACCAGCCTCCATCCTCTTCCCCAAACCGACGGGAGACTAACCTGCGCCAAGGACAGTGTCTTTCCCTCCCATATCTCCATAACCATTTACCCAGGAAGGCTTGATTGAAAAGAACTAATCGTCTTATGCCAAGTCCACCTAATTTCACAGGCTTGCAAACTTGCTCCCATCTGACAAGGTGATACTTGAACTCATCGCCCCTTCCTCCCCATAGGAAATCCCTTTGAATTTTTTCAATCCTATCCGCAACAGAACAAGGGATTTGGAACATAGAAAGAAAATAAGTGGGAAGGCTCGATAACGTACTCTTAATAAGAGTAACTTTACCCCCCTTGGACAAGTATTGCTTTTTCCATCCTACCAATCTCTTTGCATACCTGTCAATCACTGAATCCCAACTCCCCACTATCCTTGAAGAGACCCATAGGGGCAATCCCAAATAAGGAATAGGGAAAGAACCCACCCTGCATCCAAGAACTGCAGCTAAAGAGGAGATATCCTGAACATTCCCTACTGGGACAAGCACACTCTTAGCCACATTGACCTTTAGCCCGGAAACCGCCTGAAAATAAGTCAGGATGCACCTCAAATAACGAAGTTGAGACACATCAACATCACAGAAAACCAGGGTATCGTCTGCGAAAAGTAAATGAGAAATCTCCATCCGATGGACTAAATCTCTACCCACTTTAAATCCCTTAATAAAACCAAGGTCCTCTGCCCTGCGCATAAGTCTGCTTAAACCCTCCATAACGACAAGAAAAAGGAGAGATGACAAAGGATCACCTTGTCTTATACCCTGGGTGCAACCAAAGAAACCAGCGGGAGAACCATTCACAAGAATTGAAAACTTGACAGACGAGAGACAAGTCTCAATCCACTTCCCCCACTTACTTCCAAACCCCATTCTTTGTAACAAATAGAGTAGGAAATTCCAGTTCACATGATCATATGCTTTCTCAATATTAAGTTTGCATAAAACTCCAGGAATACCACTTCGCAATCTGGAATCCACACATTCACCAGCAATAAGAACTGAATCAAGAATTTGTCGTCCTCCAACAAAATCATTTTGGGAGTCCGAAATAATCCCATCCATTACTTCCCTCATCCTTAGAGCAAGCACCTTAGCAATAAGTTTGTAAATACAACCCACCAAACTAATAGGACGGAAATCCTTTATGTCAGAAGCACCTCCCTTCGTAGGGATAAGGGCAATAAATGAAGCATTAAGCAACTTCTCAAAGACGCCAAAAGAATGAAACTCCAGAAAAGTACCCATTACCTCATTTCTTACTATCGCCCAACTTTCCATCAAAAAACGCATAGTAAAACCATCAGGCCCCAGAGCTTTGTCCTCATTACAACTTGATAAAGCCTTTAGAACTTCTTCTTCAGTAAAAGGATTCTCAATCTTATCTCTATCCAGCTCAGAAAGAGCCTCAAAATAGAGACCATCAAGTTTGGGTCTCCAAACTAATGGCTCGGTATAAAGCTTCTGAGAAAAAAGAAACAATCCCGTTACGCACCTCCTCCTCTCTCCACAGCTCCACACCTTCCTCCCGAATTCTTCCGATATGATTACTCCTCCTATGAGCGTTAGCTAATCTGTGGAAGAATTTTGTATTCCTATCTCCTTCTTTTAGCCAAAGAGCCCAAGATTTTTGTCGCTACGAGATCTCCTCCATAAAGACTCCACATCCCCTCCCACCTCCTCAAGACGATCAATCTTGGAAAAATCAGCAAGGACTCTGTTTTTCCTCCATTCCAGATTCCCGAAAACATCCTTGTTCCACTACTTAAGAGCGAATTTGAGAGCTCTTAACTTCTTTGTTATTATGAAACTGGGCGAACCTGAAACAATGACTCCCTCCCACCAAGATCTGACTTGCCCTTGGAAATCCTCCGCTCGCAGCCACATATTCTCAAATTTAAACGGAGTTCTTCGAGAACACAAACCCCCGAGAACACAAACCCCCACAATCCAAGATCAAAGGAACATGATCAGAGGTGACCCTTGCTAACACCGCTTGAATGACATCTGGGAATTTCTTTTCCCACTACCCAGAGATTAAAAATCTATCCAGTCTTGAAAGAGTGAATGGATCCCTACCATTTGACCAAGTATAGGCTGCACCTTCCATTGGTAAGTCAACTAGAAGATGCTCATCAATAAAATCAGAAAATTGATCCATTTCCAAGGACCTTCTTCCCCCTGTAGAACTCTCTGACGGGTACCTAACAGAGTTGAAATCCCCTCCCAAGCACTAAGGGAGAGACCACAATCCTTGGACATGGCTAAGCTCCTCCTAGAAGATAGGTCGCTTATCATCAACAACCGGTCCATAGACTCCGGTAAAAACCCATCTGAAATTGTCCTCTTCCATATTAAACATACAAGACACAAAAAATCTCCCCATCCACATGTCCGTTCGAGATAACCATCTGATGTCCCACATGATTAAAATCCCACCCGAAGTACCTATAGCATTCAAGGCCTCCCATTCCACAAACCTTCCTCCCCACAAACTCCTAACCACCCCATCAGAAATGGATGCCAACTTGGTTTCTTGTAACCAAACAACCTGGGCACCCCACTTCCTTAAAGCTACCTTCACCACCCTTCTCTTGTTCGGATCATTGAGACCACGAACATTCCATGTAATGATTTAATGACCCAAATTGTTAATTCTTTTCTTCTTCTTTTTCCCCCAAAGGAATCCTCCCACAAGGGTGTAAAGATAAGGTATTAAACTCTTTTATATTCAATTACCTCGAGGTGTTTGCAACCCATTTTGAGTCAAAACTAAACCCTACAGATTAATGCAATCACCCGCGAGCCATGTAAACCCAGTAGGCCAGAGATAGTCGAAGTCAAGGCATCTGGTTCCTGAGACATTTCCTCAGCCAGCTCACCTACCCATGCGAGATAGGTAGGAATTTAGCTCTAGTTTACTCTTTGATAGAAGGAACCCTACTATCACTGAGTTACAATTGTGTGCTATGCTATAACTTGGCCGTTATGTTACAAATATTAATTATATGATATCCAGGCAATTTATGAAATATCATAACACAAACTATTAAATATGGCTAACATACATGGATGCCTGTGTGTATCTAACATTTACCAATTAAAAATAAAAAGAGACATAGAAACATGTATATACAACAAAGACGTAACATAATAAATATATAAAATCACTAATATGTTACTATTTCCTGGACACATTATTATCTACAAACAAAATGCAAGCAGTGAATAAATACATATTATGCACACATTTATAACTAAATTCCCTTTTGTGAACCAGTGAACTAGTGACAGAGCCCCTTGACAGTGTCAAGGTCTGATCTGCATTTTATATCCATGCTTAGAAATGAGATACATGCATGTCTATGTCAAACCCACACTCCCTATATTAAGAATATGCTTAAATGCATTGCAGTAAGAGAAGTAACTGAAAAACGAAATACAGACAGTGCACATACAGCTCGGATGTTTGCATAGCTAGGATCCAAATTAGGTGCTGCAAGACCACGTAAAGCACCAGTCAGCCACTCGCATGCCTCAATATTCTGAAGCATGCGTGCCTCATCAAATGAACCTCCTGTCAGACATGCTGCATACTGCAACAAACAGAACATCCTTAGAAGTTAAAAAGATTAAACAAGCTGACCAAACTCAAACTCATCATTAAATTCCCATAACGGAAGTTATGCAAGGACACCTCAGAAGGGACACGCAATCTTTCAAGAAGCTTATCAAGTTCCTCAATTAATGCTTTATTGTTTACAAACTGCATTTCCAGATTGTTATTGCGGGTTTCTATCTGCAAATCAAAACAGAAAACAATGCAGGTCAACAAAAGAAGAGTTGTATTAAGCTGCAAAATATTTTAATCGCCTTAATTTAGGCACAAAAAAATCTAACATTTAGTATAAAATCATGAAGAAAATATGGCACCCAGACAACCAAATCGAAATTTATGCGTGGACCAATGAAGGGATGGCCCCCAAAAATTTTTATAACCCCAAGGAATCAAACTTACTCTAAATAATGAGCTGGAAAACAAACAAGCAACAACATATGCCCACAATGTCCAAAAAGATCTCAATTTGGGCTCTTTTCGGCTTTTCCTTCTGGAAGCCCGCAATTAAAGGGATAGGTCAAAACCCAAACACAACACGCATCCCCTTCTTCTCATTTCATGCACTTAATCGATGATGGAATACTTTTGATTTATAGGCAATCTCATCTTGAATATTCTTTTATATTTCAAAATAAATAAATAAAAGCAACTAAGATACCTATTCTAAACAAAAATATATTATAATTTTAATTTTAAAAGTTTTATTTTTTGTAATACTAGTTCAACCCCTCCAAGTGAAAATTCCTGGGCCCTCCCCTATGTAAATCCAACTCAGTTTCTCGCTAGCAAGGGATCATGAACATTCTAAAGATGAGTTGTAACTGTATTGAACAACAATATGTTTTGTGCACTCCTAAACCCGTATTTAACACTTTATGGATCTGTCTGCAATTTAAAAATAGAACAACAGTAGGCCAATATTTCTTGGATACTCTCTGAAAATATAATCAATGTAGCATAATCACTCATTAGTAGGAAGCTTGTCCAGACTCTTGAATCTGAAAATAACACCCTCCAATATTTCCAACATTGTCTCTTTAGGAAAAAGAAAAGAAGAAATTTGTCATCATATACATGGCCTCCACAAGTCAAGCATGCAACAAATCCCATCTGAAATAGGAGTAGAATATAACCTTAAAGAAACAAATATAATAATTTTGTAGTGATCCTATTGTACATAATATAATTATGTATAATATAGTTTGCAAGTCCCATTTCTCCACATTATGCAGTTTACCATAGAAAAGGCCGTTACTTAATGCTGGTCCCATCTATACGGGGTGCTCAAAGTGAAGACTGGAGACAAACCAATTTTTTGGCATTATTTTGCACAATTGGCTGCTCTTGAACTCACATTCCACCGTTTATCAGCTTGAGTATTTACCAGTACACCAAACAACTTAACTATAAAATCTGTGAGAATTAATCAAAGTTATATGTTCATCGTATGATAATGTATGTATAAACATATTTATTTATATTTCTATGTCCTTGTCATGTCCATTTCCTATTTTATAAAACTTTTCTGTATCAACATAACCGTGTCGTGTCTTGTCCGCGTATGGCCTCTTACAAAGTAAGTGGCAACTGGCAAGCAAATGCTAATTTTCACTTAACAATGAATGTATGGGTTTTTGGAGACCAAATCCATCATAAGGTCTGAATAGAACAGAATTACATGTGCTAATTACATCTCAGAAAAGATAAGAAAAATACATAGAGTGAATTTCTTGTTTCTGATTAGAGTGTCAAATTGTCAATGCCCAGACATAGGAAGAGAGAAGCAATATATATATATATATATGCACATTCCAGTGACAAGTCATGAGATATGCAAATAAGTTTGGGCCTGATACAAACACACTTCATTATTACAACATAGAATGCAGAGATTCTTACTGATTCGATATCCTCTCTCATGTGTCGAAGTTTTACATTGAAAATGCTTAGCCATTCATCCATATCCTCAACACAGTTTATGCTCAAATCAAGTCCACGCAATACCTGCAGAACTCAAATTAATAATTAAAGGTCCAAACTGTAGCTATCACCTTAGAAGACTAGATAGATGAAAACATTAAATAAGAATTGTTGCTCAAATAAAACAATATGTTGAAAGATAACTGATCCCGTAACGGTCATGCATATATTATGTACAGTTGTAGCTCCAAAGGGAAATTTATGAAGCAGGGTTGCTCATGATGGTGGGCTTGATCACTAGTCCGTTAACAGAAATCTTGTGATCAAATGCAAGTTGAGGGTTCCATACAAGGAGAATAAAGCCAAGATTAAAGTTGATTTGTACAGTGATCAAAGAGATGATCTTGGATCAAAACAGAATGGTAAAGCATTATATGTTTATTTGATTAAATAGCTGGGACTGGAGGCGAGTGTCAACGAGACAATGAACCACAGGAAGCATGACATAAGAGACTGATATTTTCTGTGTGTGTGTGTGTGTGTAAGGAATCAATAAGATGAACAACAATTCTGCCCCAATATAGGAAATATTTATGGACATTCTTATGAAGTAAAAGGATTACATCATCTATCAAAGGTTCACTTTCCAAGATCGCATGTACATTTGCTGCTTCCAAAGCTTGAAGTTCTCGCTTCAACCGCTCAGAAAATGCTTCGGCTTCACCAATACCCATCACATAGCTGCAAGCAATTCCACGCTCAAACAGTCAGCATTCAATTAAGATGACTGCAACAATGAAAAGAGTGATACAGGATCGTTGGTTTATCTGCTTATATCTCTGTAAGTCAACAAACAACCAAAACAGAAAAACAAGAATGGCACAGAATACAGAACGCTACCACAATTAATGGAATGAGTCAATCCCTTTTAACAAGAAGATGAAAATTGAATTGACCCCCAGGTCTAATTTTTCTATTAAGCAGGAAGGGATAATTAAAAAACAAAGTTCTTCTAAAAAAAGGAAGAAATATATATATATAAGCTTGAAGAGAGCAATGCACACTAGCCCGTACAATGAATGCAGGATAACAAATTAAAGAATTTTTTTGGAGTTTATCAGATCTACTTATTCCCATCAAGCTAAAAGGGAAACTGTCAACAACTTTAAGGCCAGCAAAGCTTTATGGTATAGAGTATTAGGTGGTAAATGAGTAACATGTCATGAAATGAGTCCATACTTGAATATTCTTGGATAGACAGGTGGTAAGACGAAAATGGAAATAATTAGATATGCATTACCAAGTAGTAGAGGTAGCACTAGGCTGTAAGGATGCTACATTGTGACCTGGAGGTCACGGGTTTGAAAAGGAAAACAATCTCTCCACGTGCAGAGGTAAGGCTGCATGTATTTGGGGCTCAAAAGTGGTCGGAGCCTCATGCATTGGGCTAACCCTCATCTACATCCTGCCTGGTTAATGCCTTGTTAAGTCCTACTCCTTATAGGGTTTCCCTAGTCAGCATATGATACTCATGTCATGTTATGCCTATGACTTTCTCCATGCTACCTATGAATCCCCAATAAGATGAATGAAGAAAATGGGTTCGTGCAACAGACCCTGTGTAGCTAGGAAAAGGCATGCAGAATTGTGTTTATTTGTCTTCAACATTAATCCAATATAACAATGTACCTGATCATTAGTGCACTGTACTCATAAAATGATCCTGAGGTTACCATTAGCATGTACTAAATATCAAGGGCAATTTGGCGGGCAGGTAAAACCTTTTTGTGTAACTTGATTCAGGGAACTACCTAAGATAGCTGATTTCTAAGGGCCCATTTGGCATGCGATGCGTTTTAAGCGTTATGTTTTTGGTCAATACCAAAACAACCGTTTTGTTGTAGAAGTGTTTTGGGTAGAAATCGGAACCATGTTTGGTAACGAAAATTTGTTTTGGAAAATTTGGAAATTTGCTTTAGCTCCTCCGCTACAGTACCAAAACACACAATATCACCAATTTGGTGATATGCGTTTTGGCCATAAAATCTAATATGTTATGAACTATTCCAAATCAATATAAGCCATCCCAAACATGATATGGGCCCAAATTTGGATACCGATATCAGAAAAACTATATCATAACACTTCCCAAACAGGCCCTAAGAATTGGAATAATATTTTTTCTTCTCATTTGTTTACTCATGCATTATATACTATTCAAGGAATTTCTGTCATCATAATCTTATTTCATTCACAGTGTATCTCAATTTTACCAATTCAAAACAAAATGTCCAAATATATAAATATAAACTGCATATATATATTTTTATTAGACACATGTATTATATCAAGCATAAAATCCACCTCTAGACAAGAAAAGAAAATACGTACGTGCCTAAAAGAGCCTCCATGTCCTCTTCCTCTGCTTGAGACACAAGTTCTTTTTCAACAGTCACTTTCATGTCACTTTCGGTCACCGTAGCTGCAACAGGCCCATCTTGAAGATTCCTTTGATTCGTGATTGTGGGTGTATTTTCCTATATTAGATACAAGTTGAAAAATACTGATCACAGAGATGTAATCATTCACCAAGAAAACTAAATCACAAAATAAAGTCTTGTGCAATAACTTTTTACCACAGAATACCTTAAAATGTCAAATGAGGCAGATTCTTTACAAATTGAAATAGAAAAATATATAATACCAATTATATGACAGTTGAGATCCTTTTTGGCTTGGAATACAGATCTTTGTTGAAGTTGGAAGACTGGGCATCAAAATAAAGGGACTTTTGCTTCAAGCTGACATGTATCATAAAAGTATAAATGAATCAAAAAATACATAGGTTTTCTTATATTATTCATAATTGTTCCGCCGATCTTACAACATTTCATCTATTTACATATGTTGTAATGGTAAGCGCCACTCCTTGCTAAAAAGGCCATTGGCCCATTACCAGTCTGGTCCTCATTAACTGAGGATGTTGGGAGGGACAAACTAGGTAGAATTAGAAACCAAACCTCTGACATTATTTGCACAAAATGGTTGGCCTCAAATCTAAGCAGTAACCACTTGTTGCCGATAACATCAAAATTTAACATTTGTACCTAGTCCATCCTTTTTATTACTCTGCATTAGCAACACTATCACTAGGCGAATGCCTCTTTACTACACATGTGACAGGTGACAGTGATTATGTTCCTAGAGCAACGAGTGAACATCATTAATATGAACATATAAAGATCAAAGCAGCACCATGCATGCCACGACTCCCAGAAAGATGGCTCTTCTTAAGATGAACAAATGATAAATGAGCAGGAAGTAAGTGCTTGAATCAGATAAACCACATAATATAATGAGGTAAAGGCATTATATAGATTTGACGTAAAGAATTATCATATGCACCTTAGCCCAAAGAGCCATCTCCACGACATCTATTCCTACAACTTTGGGAAGTCGACCCAGCACGTCTTTGCAGATGTTTAAGATGCAAAGTAGAAGACGGTTCCTAGAACACAAGAAAATTCGTAAAGAACCATAACGAAAAGAGAGAAAGAATTTCATAATATGAAAATGAGATACCTATGTGTGTCAAGTTTCCTATATCATTACCTGTCATCAATATTGCGCATAGTCCACTGAGGTGGGGCAACACTCTGGCTTCTAAGGTTATCAAATCCCTGTAGTTCAATCAGAAACAAAGTTTGAAAATGAGAGGGAGAATGTAAATAGATGAAGAGATTTCAAGGAAGAATGGGCCACCAAAGGGTGATGTTTAAACCATCAGAACTCATACTAAATGAGCAGTTTTACCAAAGTGATTCCAAAGAAGAAGCATTACCAGCATAAATGTAAATCCGGTGGGGTCATTAGTTACAACTTCCACCTTCGTTAGATGCTTCAGTTTGTATAGTTTTGCAGGCTACAGGAGCAAGGAATATTTTTTAAAAAATATCAGCTAAAAAAACCTTCAAGTTAATAAAATCATAACAAAAATCAGTACAATAATATTCTTCATCAGTATGGATGAACCAAGTATTGGCTATTAAGGCTTTTTTCATATTCATTCTTCTAAAAGAAAAACAAGAAAACAATGTAGAGCCCACTTGTTGAATTTTCTGAAGCACTGTTTCATTTGTTAAATAAACAGTCTGTCTAATTTGAGACACTATCCATTAAATAGTTAATTTCACTTATGAAATAAGTTGCAGCTTCATATAGATATAACCAAATGGTTGTGGAACTACTCAAGAAACACCAGATGCATTATGTGTGGCTTGTGTTTTCTATAATAAGAAAATGAACTCACCAAAAGGTGAAAAAGACATTGTACATGGTTTTTTATATCGATCATCACCTAGCCATTATGAAACAATATCATCAAGGAATGAATCTTTTACCTGCCAATATATTAGTCCTACTAAAAATAAGTCATGAACACACTACACCATTGTAAAAGGCCATAAGGGCCATTAGGTCACTAAAATAGAAGTTTTTACAAAAAAGATTTCAAAATCCTCTGTTCTAGCAAGTGTTCCCAACTTCTTCTTTTTAATTTTAGCTTTTAAACTCACTGCAAACACATCCGAATACTGGATTTACTGTGAAAAAACTATATAACACAATATATAAACTTAAATCTTGAATTAAGAGCTTTGAAAAAGTTATTTAATCAATTTTTGAATTTTTTTACTTGATTTATATTTACCAAATTTGTTGTTTAATGTTATATCATTAAAGATTGTTCATGAATCTTTCACAACCGACAGATAGAAGAAGAAAAGCATGTCGAGGATTGCAATTGACTTTAGTTGGAGGCACTCATAAGAGGAATAGAAGTGGAGGAGCTCATTAGGTGAGGGGGCTACAAGAAATTGTTTAAAGAATTAAGATTGTAAGGAAGAGTCTACAATCTACATGAAGTATGGCAAGAGAGTAATGTAATTCTATAGGGATAACTGGGAGATGATCGTGAGACAATTTTTGTAAGTAAAGAATAATCCCATAACCAACAGTTAACGTACTTCTAGTTATAACTAATTTACTTCAAAACCATGAACATAAGAAGAAATCCTGAATTAGATAGAGTAATTTTTATTAATTTTTTGAAGTACAATGTTTGATTAGAAAGAGACTTACAAAAAGGCATCCTCCCATGGTTATTTGAATTTATTTTAGTTTTTCCACTGTTTCATCATAAACAACTCATTCACGAAGTCCAACTAGCAAAGCTCTGAAAAATACTTTGACATTTAAGTGCATTTTTGTCATAAAATTAGTGGAAATTATTGAACTTTTCTCACAGACGCAACTTAAAATTTGATATAAAATTCACCCCTATAAAACCATATTTAGAAATTGTTAATTAATATTCATTTGAAACCCTATTTTATAAGACTCTACAACTAAATCTAAAAGTATCTATATATGTTGGAAAAGTGTGATGAAAATGAAATAGAATTCATGACTTAGGTAGTTGCATCCATTATGTTACATCTGTTAGCATGGATGCATCACCACAGTCATTATCGTTAAATTTTTCCCTTTAAATAGGACATATATAATACAAAAGTTGCAATACCCTGTAAAGATACAAAGGGATCCATATTCTTGCTCAATGGAAGATTCAACTTTCTTGAAACCCAGCTATGTAATACTACAAAAACTTTGATTTTCTAGATGAAGATATATATACATACACATACACTTTTTCCTAGTTGTTAACCCCCCCACCCCCACGGGTAAAAAAAAAAAAAAAAGGAATTGTTTGCACCCAAGAGGAGTCGAACCTTAGACCTGATGCTTCCTCACCAGGGCCAAGTGACTTGCCCACTTGAGTCAACCCCTTGGGGTTACAATAAGAGTATGACTAATCATAAAAATAAAAAGAATGAAAGAAACATTGAATTCACCTCAAGAACTCCTCCATTAGAATCCTTTAAGACATGAAGAAAAGCTTTGTTCCGCTGGCCTTTTGGTTTTGCTGCATAAAGTACAGGCTGTCACAAAAATTCCCACACACGATGACTGGAACCAATTCGTGAATTTTAATATTAAATTTAGTTTGATTAATAGAAAGGGCAGAAAGGCTTATATTCCTCCCACTCTAGTATCAAATTGCTCAAACCGATAGCCAGAAGATAAGTAAATGAGTCTCATATCAGCAAACAAACAAGATAGTATGGTCCTAATAAGCTATACAAGATTTCATACACATTGAGATATTCTAATACTGCTGCCGGTAAATGTAATGGTAGTCTAAAGGTCAATATCTGTATATGCTGAAAGGGCCTTTTGGAGGATTCATCAAAAGACCATTTACAGTCCTGTCATAGACGAAGAGTCAATTTCAATCATTTTATACTCAGTGTTGAATAACTCCTAATACCGAGAAAATTCTAGCAAAATCCTCCTGTGATGGCATAGCAAAGCATCCTTGTGGGTGTCAAAGCCTTATGAATTTAATTGAGCAGCAGGACTATGGCATCAAATATCGGGTAGGACACTTATCAAAATATATATATATATATATGAGGTAGGACAAGAAAGCTTATCAAATTATCACATTTTGTCAGTTGATACAACCAGAATTTTTAAGGCCTTTTGTTGCATAGACCTCTCCTTCAAAGTGCCACATATATGAGCTTATAGGGATGCTTTATTTCGATGAACCAACCGGACAGTTACAAACAACAATAATTTTCGGTCGGTAGCAACAGGACTACTCTGCATTCAGCATTTTCATCATGCTAGAGCCTCCACTAACACAACCCTCATCTCAACTTTCCGTCTCCATTAACATTATCAGCAAGAAATTTCTTAGCAAAAATGAAGGAATAAAGGTTTGAAGTCTTTCTCCATAGTAATATGCGTTACATGGACTTCAGAATTTTATTTCAAAATAATCAAAAACGGAACAACTAAAATAAACAAATTTTCAATTGAAAAAGGTAAAAGTGCAATCTAGTGTGTAACAAACACAGTTAAAGATTGATTGAGCAAAAGAAGTAGCAAAATTTACTTAATTAATTTCAGTGTGTTGTAAGTAAATTGCATAGATGATGATTCTGAAAAAGATAAGATATGGGAATAGTTAGTTGATCTCGTACTGGTAATGGCAAGAACCCTAGCTTTGGTCATGTGGCTGCGGCCTAATTTGCCGGCCTTGCCCCAGATCCCGCGGCTCTTGGCGACGCGGATCGACATCACTACCGTCTGCATCGTGTTCTCGATCGCCGCCTGGCACGCACGCCTCATCTCCTCGTCGTCTGCGCTCGATTTCGCCATCCTTCCCTTCTCTTCCCCACTGGCTAAGCAGAGAACAACAATCAGGCGAGCGATGATTACTCTGACGTGAAAGAACCAACTACAGAAAATTACTCCGCAGATAGGACGACCTGTGAGAGCACGCGTCGGTGTAAAAAGAAATATGTGGATATCGCTTTGGACCCGAAAATCCGTGTACCCGCCAAGTTCGGGAAAGAATATGGCACCAAGAATATAGCACTCCTATCTTTCTTTCTTTTTTATTTATTTATATATATATAGTCCTAGATATTGGGAAGTGCTGGATTCACAAAAATTAAAATACAGTTAGATGTGTATTTATTTTTTATTTTTTACTATGATTGAGTTATGTTACTCCATAGACATGTCAATGGATTAGATTTTAATTTTAATCGAATTAAATTATAGATAATTCGATCGGATTACAATAATATAAATATATATATTTTTACAATTAAAATGTACTAGATATGAATGTTATATATATTAGTTATTTATTACTCCGTATTAAATTTACATATATTAATTACTTATTATTATATTCATTTAATCATATATTCATATTATGCATCATCTTATGTACTAATAATTATTTACTCCCTTTAATTTTATAATTATACATGTAAGTGAATATGATTTTAATTTAATTAAAATTATATTCAAATTCAATAATTCGTTAGCTTAACAAACTATATATGAATTTGATCAATTCGTTGGCAGGCCTAATCATGTCAATATTTTATTAGCAAATTTTTTAGTCTGGTCTAGAAATTAAATTCAAGGGGTGTGTAAAAATAAACAAAAAATTAATAAACATGACAATAAATATAAGTTCTTCAAATCAAGAGGAAAAGAAAAAAAAAATTATTTAAAATAATATGTCAATTAATGAGTTGTTTAAGAAAAAAATAAATAAAAATAAATAAATAAACTTTGATTCAAAAAGAAAATTTTGATATATGTTTTTTTAAGGAAATTAAACGAATTTCAAGATTCTTCTATTATTTGAATTCGATTACATAATTTTTTTCCATCCTGCTGTCTCCAAACAAAATTTATGTGAAAGCATGGACCATATCATATCAAATTTAGAACATAATATATGTGTGTACATATTTTGCTTAATGTAACACAAGATCTAATATACCGCACAATCAATCTGGTCTTCAATGCATCTCAAATAATAGTACCTTGTTAACTGATTAATTATAAGCATTGTTTGTGAATTATGTTGCAGATGTGATGGTATTCACAGCCCCTGTGCCATCTTTCGCAGATACATGGGATGGGTTATGTTTAGTAATTAATTACAAGAATTGCTTGTTGAATGAATAATTATTTGCAGATACCTCGATGGTTCAATGAGTTATTGTTTTCAGTGAATTTTAGAGTGTTAGGTTTCGACTCTCTGTATCTATTAATCATTTTTGCCTTGTAAAAAATTAATAATAATAAGAATTATTTGTATATAATTGGCTTATATAAATACCTACTTGTATGAGATTAACAATTAGTTCCAAGCATTACGAGATGTTTTTTGAAAATATTTTCTAAGAAGAAAGTTACAAGAGAATGAATTATAGAATACACTATTTTATCATTTGAAAATTATTTTCATTTTGCAGTGCTATGTCTTAATCTCTCATTTTTGCTATATATTAAGGGCCAACCATATCATATATACGAGTTACCTATGATGTTAAGGCCAAGTATGATATGCTCACACGTTTTTCTCATAAAGTTATAAGATAACATTTTGTACTTTTCTAAAAATTATATATTTTCAGAGTTATTGAAAACGATTTTTAAGAAAATTGAACAGATGAGTCCCAAGAAACTTCTCCAAAACATTATGCTAGAGGTTGGTTTTTATTTTATTTTTTTAGTAGTTTTTCAGTTCTCTAAGGACAAATGATGGATAACTCAAAATTTTGTTTGTTGAGTGTTTTATTAGGCAACATGATTAAAAAAGAAAATAAATAAAAAGAGCACTCTCATGAGTTATATGAATCTGATTTCTCACTTGCAGTTCCATATAAATTTCTTTTTTATGTGTTTCCATTTGATCATATCGTAGAATCAAGCTGGTTTGTTACTATGTGTATTTTTCTGTTGCTTTGAATGATTTATGGTGAAACTGTACTGGAAGTAACTTAGGTCTATTCGAACTCCTATGCGACTAAACTTTATCAATTGACTGAGCCATTTTTTTTTAGACAGAGCAGATAGAACACCTCTTATAAAGAAGCTACATACTTTGGGTGGAGAGGAATTAGTATTTGTTTATTTTATTTTATTATTTTATTTTGACAAATTAAGAAGAGAGGAATTCGAACATGAGTACACGTGTTCGGGAGTTTGACGCTTTACTAACTAGGTCACTTAGTATTGTTCAGATATTTGTTATTACATGTGATTTATTATAATCATTCATCACCTCATCTCAAAAAAATACCTTTATGTATGATAAACTAATTAATCTATTGAATGTCGGATCTTGAATTATATATTTTTTATTGCATTACATGATCAAATTTAAGTTGTAACTGCTATTAGTTTAGACATTTCAGGCATTGTTGTTTGGGTATTGGTGTTGATATTTTGGTATAGGCTCGTGTTCGGAATTTATATGTCACATTGTAGCCCCTGGTAGTACAAATAGTTTCTACCACGATCGAAGCCGTTGGTAGAAAGCCCTTTAGCAACTATCACGATTGATAATGGCATGGGCCAAAATTGTGGTAGAAACGGTTAAAAATCAATTTTCTTATATTTAAATAGATTTTTTTTTTTTTATTACTATTCACTTCATTTTCATTTATGTTAGTGTCCATCTAATTAAATACATAAATAAATAGAGTGGCCTGAAATGCGACATAGCCCTGAAATGCCCTGAAATGATTAATTGGATATAGCCTGTCATGTTGATGTGATCATTTGTGTATATAGTTGAATAATCATTATCATTTGTGTATATTGTTGAATAATCATTTCATGGATTTTCTCCGCAAACCATTGGTGAATCCATTTCCCACATATTTTTTCAATGCCGTTTCTCGTCAGGGTGTGGAAGACCAAAGAAAGATATGGTCTTTATGTGAACAACTTGGCGTTTGCTTGGTGTGAGGTTGCACAATTTGAAATAAGTTGTAAATTATAATCTAAAAACACTTAAAAGGAGGCGAATTAGTGTAATTTTCTCCTTTATTCAAATGTTTGTTTAAATTAAATTTACAGAATTAATTATAATCAATCAATGCACAAAGAAAAAATAAATGCAAGTAAAGTAAATTAAGTAGAGTTAGAGTGATACAAGATTTTTAGTGAAGAAACCTAGTTAGAGAAAATCATTCAGACATCAAGAAAACCTCGGAGACTTTCATGCGAATTCGAGCAAAACGATCCACTGTAAATGAAGAAAAGTACAATGAATTTCAATTTAGGCTCACCCCCCTTCATTCTACCAAGAATCAATTGTTAAATGCCTCTGGCTTTGCGATGATTGCTTTAAGAGGTATTTTAATAATTTTTGCACTTATTATGTTGATTTAGTGCGAGGATATTTATTCATTCTGAATTCTTTATTTCGTGTGCCTTTTTTATCATCATAATGAAATTCCTACAACTATTGGACATGGCCCTAACTTGGGTGAACCAAGTAAAAATATGTTCTTGTTGTGTGTGATTGATATGTGTTTCTTTATTTTCTACTTAATTTCACAACACACGACGTGATCCCACTCCAAAAGCTCCCGATTTCAGGCTTATTCCTTTGATCCCTATAGAAAGATTTTGGATAGATCAATAACACCCCGTGAATGCTTTTACCCTTTTAAAGTGTAATCACTCCCTCATTTTCTTCAACTCTAAATTGATGAAGATAAATAGAAACTCTATTTTTTCTAAACGGTATCAGTGGATCTTAAATGATTCAAATTTCGACTAGATAAAGAACGACGTACTAAATCACTCGCGTGTATGATATGTGTGCTCTCAATATGAAATATAACAAACTCTAAAAAACTCACACAAAAGGCTCTCTAGTGTTACTGAAATTTTAAATGAAAAAGCCATAATGAATTGTGTAAGAATAAGAGTTTATATACAAGAATAGAGAGACCTGTTAGGGTTTGAAAACATATACAATTTTGTGCTAAAGCATCCCTTTAATTCAAAATTTAAAAGGCTAAAAGTTGGCTAAAACAAAATTTTCCTTTTTCTGTCTAGGACAAGTGCAACCGGTTGTACTTGAAAGTGTAACCGTTTGAACTTTTATTGAGTACTGTTTTTGTTTAGATAATGCAACTAGTTCCTTTGTGAAGTTCAACCGGTTGGACTACTGAAAAACCTCAAGCACTCTATCCAACTTTAAATACATTCTAAGTGATCCTCACACACTTAACTTGACTAAATGTTGTTCAATGTCGGGCCGAATAAGTTGGTATGAGTATTCTTCACTTTATAAATTTTCTGCTTCCGAAAGCGAGATACAAATATAAATGAAAAATTATAACTCAATCGCGCGTTTTGATCACCAAAATATGCTAATTATAGTTATCTACCTCATACACAATTTACAGCATCTGAACCTGGAGAGAATACAACAACAAGGTGTATAGAAGCAAAGTCAGTCAACCCGTTATCAAAACAATTCAAGACACAGTGCGAAGTAAATTGTTCTCAGGTTCCTTGTGGACCTTTTTAATTACAAGCACGTTGCGGGTATCACATCCTTCCATCCTCTTGGTCAGAGTTTATTTATTGGGCATGCCATCATTGGAAAGGTATCTCATAATTCCATAGCAATTGGATCTAAAAAAATGAGCCTCGCATCTCTGGTCTACAACATTTGGACTGAATGGAACCGTCGAATCTTCAAGAAGAAATCCATCTCTGCCAACTCATTTATGCATCTCACCTTGGAAAGCTGTCAGAACCAAATTTCTCTCATCCTCAATCTCTGATTTACATAATGCTAGAAGAATTGTGGCTGAATGGGAACTCCCTGAGTCTGTTGTTTGTCCACCACCAAAACCACCAAACCACCATATCACAGGACAGGGATTAAGGAATGGAGGCTTCATCGCCATGATCATTGGAGCTCTGTAGTCTATAACGGCCATATATTTGAACTCCTATAT